AAAACGAGTTCATCAACAAAAATCTTCTTAAAACAATTTTAAAATGTTTAACATCTTGAGCCAGGTTCCTTATATTAGGAGGAAGCCAATTAAAAACCTTAATACCATGGTAATACACTCCTTTCTGAAATACAGTCAACTTACATGTAGGATAATGGAATTTATTATTATATCTTGTATTCCTATTATATAACTCAGAATTTAACTTAAATTGATCTTTATTATTAACCACAAACATTGCAAGAGAAAATATATGCTGAGACTGAAGGGGTAAATTTTCCAGTTCCCTGAACAATTCCCTACATGAATATCTGTTCCCAGAGTTCATTATAATTCTAATCGCCTTTTTTTGCAACCTAAAGATATGAATACTATAAGGGGAATTACCCCAAAAAACCAAACCATAGGCCATAATTGAATGGAAGTAAGAAAGGTAAATCATTCTTAATGTACCCTGAGACATGTAAGATTTTAGGGCTCTAATCGCGTAACATGCAGAGCCCAATCTAGACATTAACCAATCCACATGTCCATTCCAAAACAATTTGTTATCAATAATAAGCCCCAGAAACTTAGCATTTGTAGTGTTAACAATCCGATCATCATCATCCTCAATATGGATGGATATTCATATTGAGGATGATGATGATCGGATTGTTAACACTACAAATACTAAGTTTACTTAATACTTGTATTACCATGGTATTAAGGTTTTTAATTGGCTTCCTCCTAATATAAGGAACCTGGCTCAAGATGTTAAACATTTTAAAATTGTTTTAAGAAGATTTTTGTTGATGAACTCGTTTTGTTCCTTGGAAGAATACTTTGATTGTAAATTTGACTCCAATGATCAACTGTGATTATGGTACTGAATGTCTTATATTGTTATTTATATTATTATTTCTATGTAGTGTTATTTGTATTATCAATGACTAATTCCTTATCCTATATGTAGTGGATAAATAAATGATGATGATGATGATGAAAAGGTCTAATTACTCTTGCACCATAACAGAGCTTTAGTGAGTTTAACATCCAAATTTTCAATATGAAACTTCCAAGACATATTATGTAATACTAACCGCAAAAACTTTAATTCAGTAGTAGGGAATAATCTTATGTTAATGTGAATTGTATTACGTCCATTGTAACTTCTGAATCCATTCCACTATATTTCTACTATTCAGTTTTATACATTTAAACACTAAGCATCAAATACAGCAATGTAGAATTTGATTATCATCACATATGTAAAACTGAGCATGACGACCAGTTGTCGCCACCACAAATTTCTGTACCAATGGTACAACATATGGCAGGGCTTCCATTGGATAAACGTTATTCTCTGAATGTGGAAATGATATTTACCGGTGTCAGAGCGTGCATTTCCACTCTTAATCTCGTGCGGTGACAAAGGCGGCGTGATAACTGTAACGTCATCTGCCATTATGTCTTTTTCCTAATCTTCACTCCATTCACTTCCAAGTAAAACCCTGTAAAATAAATATTATGATCTTTATAGTTTGTAACTTATATCACTTCGAAATACGTCTAGGCATTTGAATCGTAACCCATTTCTTCACACTTCTAACAACTCCCGCCATTTCTATGTTCAGTTCAGTATGGCCAGCACAAATTCAACACATTTCTCTACATAAATATAAGTTCCCTTTACGAGATTTGATGTTCGCATGGCGGTAATTGTGAAGATTATTGTTAGCATGCTTGTGGCGCGGTATAGTCTGATGGAAGTGTACCGGCGTTTCGGGAGAACGTGCTGCCTTCATCTTGAGGACCTTGAGGACACGCCTACGCTAAAGAGGGCAGTAACATGTTCCTGTGAAATGTCGATAAAATTCTGCCAGACTACATGTCATTAAGCAGAGTTCTACCTTCTGCCTTCAAAGGGACCAATTCCACATCCTAGGTTTGAGACCTGTATCGATATATGGAAAATAAAGGAAATAATGAATGTAACGTCTTGTAGTTCGTTGACAGCCGACGTTTCCGGGGAACATGTCGGTTCCATCTTTAGGGTCGAAGAATAAGCCAAGCAAGAAATCAGCCAGAAGCATTTAGCAAACTTGACTTATTCTTTGACCTTGAGGACGAATCAACACGTTCCTGCAGAACATTTTTTGACTTTTAACAGTCTATATTGAGTCATATCCCACAAGACAAAACTCTTCATAACCACCACGGTGAGAACCTCAGATCCTGTATACATGGCATTGTATCATAGAAGAAAGAAATCTTTATTGTCACCTCTATGAGAAATTCAAAACTCATTTCTGTTTCTGTGCCGCCGTGTAGATATTGTGTTAACCGACATTTCAAAGGAACGTATCGCCTCCATCTTCAGGGTAGAAGAAAAAAAGAAGAAAATCCATGAGCGAGGAACCAGCGGTAGCAGGTGCTAAAAGACTAATGTCTTCACATTGACGTCACATCCCAGAAGACTGCTTTCTTCATAGTCACTGTCGTGAAAACCTCAAATCTTACTCATTTCTATTTCATTTGCTGCAATGGTTCAAAATAGCGGAAAAAATGTAAGAATAAGTTCTAATTTAATAAACAAATGAAAATATAGCAACAGCTCAGTATTTGAAACGTTCTGTCTTCTTGGATGTAACCCCATGTAATCCAGTGAAACTCAGCTGACATTTCAGAGGAACATATCACTTCCACCTTCAGAATTGAAGAGTAAGCCAAGCAAGAAACCAGCATGGAGCAGGCAGCAAGCAGAGCTCTGCTCTGCTCCTTCAAAATATCTGTCGACTTTCAGTGGACCAAACTGAGCACGTATTAAAAGCAAAGGCCTCGGAGGGCCATAGGGTTGTGAGACGTTGAGGCTCCCACATTATCTAAACAATCGGCTCAAAGATGGCAATAAGGTTGTCAGCCTTACACACCAACTACCCTTTACCCCCCAGGAAGTTTCCTGGTACTCATTTCTGTTAAATGTCTCAGGAAGTAATGAAAATGGTTTATTATGCCTACTTTCATTCTGCTGTGCCAAATGAAATAATATTCTGGAGAAACTCTACAGACAGAACTAAAATCTTCAAAATGCAAAAGAGGGCAATTAGAATTATCACAGGAAGCAAGACTAGAGATCCTTGCAGAAATTTATTTAAAAACTTGAAAATATTACCATTTCACTGACAACACGTACCTTCACTCCCGTTATTTGTGGTAGACAATATAATCATGTATAATTTATATACTGACATCCATAACATAAATATGAGGCAAAAACTCGATGTCCACCAACATTCAGCAAATCTATCTCTATATTAAAAAAGGAGTTCACTCCTTCGGTATCAAAGTGTTCAATTGCTTCCCTCAAAGTCTCAAGAAAGTAACTAGTAATATTAAACAATATAAATTTGCAAACGTTACTTACTCACTCTTTCTACTCCACAGATGAATATTTCAATGTAAACAAACAGTAATTAGTATTAATGTAAAAAAAATTAAAGCTATCCCTGGTACAGGCTGTGAAGGCCCATAGTGTTGTGAGATGTCGAGGCTCTCACATTTTCTCTAGACACTCGGCTCACAGATGGTGGTAAGTTTGTCAGCCTTACATGCCAAATGCCCTTTACCCCCAGGAGAATTCCTGGTACTCATTTCTGTTAGAGGCTGAGTTGATCCCAGGGCCATAGTGCAGCTGGAAGGATTAGGTAAATTGGAAAAAATTCGCATGTAGACATGCTGCTATGCAACAACCACGAAATAAACAACTGTACAACAACCACTACTAAGTGAATGCTTTGCAAACAAGCATGTATGCATGGCAATAAATACAGCAATAATGGAGGAGACATTTTCTATGCAGTCCATGCCAAGATGTTATACACAGGACCAATTAGCAGTTGTATTCAGTCAAAGAACTATTGGGGTTCAGTCATGAGCTGTTGCTGTTAGAAGCTGGTAGCTGTGGCCAAGGACAGTCCCTGAACCCACAAGACAGGGAACATCTGCTGTTGGAAGCTGCTACCAACCAGTGGCAGTGAAGACATGATTGTGGACTCTAGTGTGTGTGTAACAGTGAACTGTATCAAAGTGTCAAATAGATCAAGTCATCAATCCAAAACCCATCTGTAGTCACACTCCACCACGTGACAATATAATAATTGATATATGGGAGAAAATTATTCTCCATTTATATGAATTCAGTACCTGAATATACCGCATAATTTCTTGGTAGCACAGAACTGCAGAAAGTTTGGGAAAATATGTCAATTAATTACTAAAGTAAACGAATTGTATTAATAATTGTAATAGCAATATAATGCAAGTAAAATGTATATAAAAGCTTTAAGTCTAAATTCTCTATTACAAAACAATTTAAAAGTTTTAATTACAGTTACAGATTGCCAGTGTGATTTGTATTCAAACACAATAATTTGTATTCAAAAAATATCAATAGAGAAGGGATTTAATTACATACTTGAGCAATTTAAACCTAAAAAGATAAAATGATTTTATATTGATGTCTCTCCATTACCTACACATAATTCTGCATCAACTGACATCTTTGTGCTGAATACAATTTGTGACAGAAATACTTAAAATGCTCCACTTCTGGAGCAACAATAATACATTTGAAATACCATGCTAATATCAATTCTGAAAAATTACTATTTGAATAACTCTAAAACTACAGAATTAAACAACATTAAAAGTAGAGCATACTTTTTTGTCAGTCTTTCATAGTAGCATATAAAATACTGTCATATAATAAAAACACTAATCAAAATGGCCAACAATTCCGTAAAGAAACTTTGTCTCTGGAACTTCTTTCCATTATTTCCTCAACGGTATCACAAATTTCTTTATCTTTGGTCTCTGGTAACATAAGGACTAGAAGTCCTGCAATGAGTACTGCTGCACCACAGATTGTGCTAGGTATATACCAGGCTTGCGCACCCTGTAACAAAGAAAATATATGATCAGCTTGATTTCAACACATGACAAGAAACAGAATATCAGATTTTCAGATTTATCTTCCTTATCAGCTGGTTAACTAGCTAAGCTGTAATAATCTTCTCTCTGCTGTAGTAATAAAATAATTTAACACCTTAACGACATGAGCAACATTTTGGAAACGCATATAGAAGTATCAAATGAATGTCTTATACACTATACCACATATTTTAAGGCCTCGCTGTAGCTCAAGCGGTTGGTATCTGGCTTCCCACCGCGGCGGCCCGGGTTCGATCCCGGGTCTGGTCAAGTGGGATTTGTGGTGGACAAAGTGGCGCTGGGCAGTTTTTCTCTGAGTACTTCAGTTTCCCTGCCATGTAAAAGGGACTAAGTCCCTTGTACTGCGCCCACTTCTGGCCTATTGTACCAGCCCCAGATAATAGGTGAGAGTGATTGTGGAGCAACTGTGGAATGAAGATTGGCAGGGGAAACTGAAGTACTCAGAGAAAAACTGCCCAGCGCCACTTTGTCCACCACAAATCCCACTTGACCAGACCCGGGATCGAACCCGGGCCGCCGCGGTGGGAAGCCAGAGACCAACTGCTTGAGCTATAGCGAGGCCTTAAAAGGTTCAGTTTGTCCTATATTTAAAATACTTGTCTGACGTATAAAATTAATGGGAATATAAGAAGTTTTTCAATTCCAATTTCAATTGTTTTGTAGTCTGGGACTGATCTTTTATTGTGACAGATAAGTTGTTAAACACTCTAATCCCAGCATAATATAAATAATATATTTCTTCATACACCAATATATATTCTAGCCTGTGAAATAATTTGTTCCTTGTAAAAACTGAGGTTCTTGAAGCGGTGGGTAGGAAGAGTATAATCTTCTAGGAAACAATGCCATGTAGTTCGTTAAAAGTCAACCGACATTTCAGTGGAACATATTGCTTCCATCTCCAGGGTCAAAGAATAAGCCAAAAAAAAAGAAAAAAGAAGAAGAAGAAAAAGAAACTAGCGTGAAAGTAAGTGGCAAGGAGCACCTGCTTTCACGTTGTTTTCTTGGTTGACTTATTCTTTGAGTCCACAGATGGGGATGATATTTTCCTCTGCAACGTCAGATGACTTTCAACAGACTACACAGCATTATATACCCAGAAGATAGCACTCTTCAACTTCTTCCTTGTCATAATATTATAAGTTTATCACTGATTCAGACTTTATAACACATTCTCATAATCTTACTTAGTTTTATACTCATATATTTCTAGACCAATTTCTTGTGTTCTTATTCTTTATGGCTTTCTGCTTCTTGCTGATAAATTAACACCATTACAACCTCAAAACTCCTGATTTCAAACTACTATCTTGTTTTATCCCTCCTAAGTGTTTTTTCTTATGTAGTAAGATGAACTTACTAGGTACTTTGAACTGGCATACAGATCATAATAGAAATTCAGTTTAAAGTATAAATGACATTTGGCTTACAGTAAACACATGTATGAAAATAGTAAAACTTACGAGAAGGTCAACAATATAAGGAGCTGAAAGTGAGCCAAGATGGGACATTGTAGAGCTAGTTCCAACAGCTGTGTTTCTGTTGACAGTGGGAAAGAGTTCTGAGGTCTGCAGAATGATAACAGAGTACACAGCTCCAATGCAGAGTCGTCCTATCATAGCCACACTCATGATGGTATCGGTCATATCTGAGGAGGAACCACAAACATTCTCTTTGATGAACATCTTCTACATAAAAGCCAGTTGTTCATAAAGTCTGTGATGTTTGCAACAGCAAAGGATTCAATATTCCCAGTGTCTGACAGATGACGATATAGTTGCTTGTTGTCATTCTAGGAGGAACACTTTAAGCGATATTTTAAGTAAATTGTTTTAACATAACACAGAATAGTGTTATACTGCATTTAGACTCCATCATGAAGTTTGTTGTAACAATTAGTACTGTGTCAGCTTTCAGTCACACGTGTCTGAGTGTACATGTTCATCGTAGTTATCACTTCATAGGCACTATGAGGTCACAGACACCTACGCTGCTTTTGATGAAGTGGTACAACACAATGATATTTTATATATGATAAGAGGAAAATTTCATAATCTGGGCAAAATATTGTGACGCGTTACCTTACGTCCATCACCGTGACAACCGCTACAATCGGAACAGATACTTCCATGACAACGAATACGTGGAAATTGTGGAGTTCCCACAGCGACAAATCATAGCAACGAATTGTCATTGTGTAACAACAGATGAGATGAAACACATAACTGGTGTCTTCTATAAGAAGCGTTCCCCTAACAACGGACTGTCTGAACAGTGGTAACCGAACCGTGAGGAATGGTGTCTGGTATCCAGTCCGCATAACCCCTATATAAGCAGAGCTTATGACATGTACAGAGTATTGAGAATGAGACAGTCTTGGGATAGCTGCTGCCAGAGACAGTTGAGTTCCAGCCACGGCCAAGGACAGTTGAGATGTCGCATTGAGTATTGAAGTATTAGGCCAGAAGTCAAGTGCTATTGCAAGTGATAATAATTGTAAGAGTGAGTGTTCAATAAAGATTCGCTAGATCCAAGACCCATGTAAAGTTATTTGTCGCATGACATACCCAACATGTGACAATATTATATGAAGAAATTAACTTATGATATATGCAGGAGTTAGTCATGACTGTAGTAACTCAAGAGTAAGAAAAGAAAGAGTGGTATATATTATGATAGGTTTCACTATATTTTAAATGAATATTCTCTGTGTAAATTACTTATGCACAAGTGCTACATTGCAGCCTAAGCATGATAAATTACCTCCATTGGCCATCTTACCAACATAACATATCCAGACCATTTTTAAATAATTTATTTTTAATTTATGCTCGAAATAATATAACTACATGACTCAGAAAATTAACATTTCTAGAGGAAAAGTAAAAGACAAATGATATTCTGAATATTTATCAGGAAAATCATCATTGAAATATAATCATAGACATAGGATAATTGACACATGCTTCATAATTTCTGGAAGGGTTACTGGCATTTTTCTCTTCTCCATGAATACAGGAGTCTATATAGATGCCCTCTTTCGTGGTTTTTGGGGTCTCTTTACCCAGATGTGAAAGTTGTCAGAAAGTAAACTTGATGCTTGTCCTCCGATTATTTCTGAGGTTAAGAATGCATGGAACACTGCCTTCACACCCATTATAGTTTCAAAAGCTCACCTTCTGGGATGGCGAGAATAGACAGGAGAGCTGCCCCAGATATGATATACAGCAGAACAGATGTTGTTCGTCGGCCTGTCCACCGCATCATCGGGATAGGAAGAATATAACTCACAGCTTCTACTCCTCCAGCAACTGCCACATATAAATATCTATTGCAAAAAGAATTAAATGGTTTAATATTGTATATTGTGCTATGACAGTAAAATATAGAGTCATACAGAGATAATACATAAAAAAGCATCACATTTTCAGAAAAAGAAATCAGGTTCTTGGCCAGATGCAAACACACCAATCTAGTCATTAAGGGGAGGATGCAACTTGTGTTCTGAGCTTGGGCAAGACTGCATAAGGCAGTTACAATCAATAGAGCAAAATTCACATTTTAGGGCCCTTCTATTTACCACACTTACATAACATTGCTGGAAGTATATGAATAGAAACAATAGAGTTTGGCTTCCATAAATAATGCCTTAAAAGTAAAATGGTTGTTCAACTGTGATGATTGAACCAAAAAATATCTCTGCATCATGGAAGAGATATATTCATGAAGATGTGTCCATATTATGAAATTCAATAACAAAAACCCTATTTCTCCACTGACTCCAATACTATATGTTAAGATGTATCCCTACTGAAATCTTAGTTCTCATCCAGAGTTGTGAGTTTTTCCTCAAATTTAATTCCACGCCATGCTCCTTTACGTATACAACTAACACTTGAACTTGATGGTTTCTTTTGAGATACCTTAAATGAGATAAAATATTGCACAACCTTCAGAAAGATAGAAATAGCATCTGTGCTACCACTCACTCTCCTCATGACTGACACAAGAGCATAGGGCAGCCAATGGCCAGCTGCATTTCTTGCTACATCACCAAATTTCTTTCTAGGCGAATCTGTGGCCAAATCATAAATCTTATAATCGTGTTTTATAATTTCAATATTAGAGTGGATTATATTATTGATACTTGTATTAGTAAGCATGGTAATACTGGAGCAATAAAGGGCTTCAGGGGAGGGGAGGGAAGTCCTGTTGGAAGAAGAAGAAGGAGATGCAAAAAATATCAGTTCCAAATATTAAAATCATTTTTAAAAGAATATTCTTCTGTCCTGAATACTCTACAGTTATCTGCGAACATAGTTGTAAATGTCTTAGATGTAAGCTTGTAAGCAAATTTCCTGTGTAACCCCTCAGAAAGCGATCCTGACCATACCCATGATTACTACTATTGAAATCCTTCACACATCACAGGAACTGAAAGTAAAACCAACTGCGATATGAACATATATGCCTATGCTGGATATGTTACATACCTGTAGATTATAAATGGTTCTAACAATGGTGTATAACACTCTGAATAAGTTTTTAGAATACCGAATGATGGACAAAGTCCAAAAACCCAGTAATTCTGAAAGTTACATACCTGTATTGAGTTACATTTTATTTGTTAAGCTATTCCACTGGGTTATTTTTAGTTACCTGTCAGCTGTGAAATTATCAGCATTGAGTGCAAGAGAATAATATGTCATGGCTGTGACACACCATGCAAAGTAACAGATGAGAAGTCGCTTCCTTAGTTCGCTGTTGGCAAAGATTGCAAATAACTTCTTTAAAGCAGTAATGGTACGTTTGTACCACAGAACATGCTCAGTACTTTTGTCTGTGGTAGAGTTGGTTGTGTTAGTATTAGCAGCTGCAGGAACTGGCGACTTCTGAAATTAGACATGGATCTCTTAAATTATTCAGCTATCTTATCAGGGGGCAGACACATGTGTCCTCAAAAGGTACTGACTGAATCCAGGGATTCAACACAGACAAAAACTCACTCTACTTATATTACAAAAATATATTTACGAAGGTCCTTTTCCCTATTATCCTATTATCTCTTTTCTTGGTCTCCTGCACCAAAAGTTTCAGAGGTGTTCGTGTGTATTCAAAATCAGAACACACTTCTGATGAATATTTATTAATGTCTAAGAGGGCCGTCACTTTTTGGCTCTCTGTGACTGTTATTCAACATATTCAAAGCCTTCCTTCATTGGACATGGGAATGTCCTCTGAAGTGCCACATGAAGAAATGATTTGTATCACTCAGACCAGTAAATTTCCAGAATCATTAATTTCATCTTGTACATTATTGTTACCTCAGGAGCATCTGATTTTTCCACAGGATTACTCTGCGCTCCAAGTGTTAGGAGTCTCATCATTTCTGATTTCTTACTAAATCTTTTTACAATTTTCCATGCTTCTTCACGCCGGTCTTGAGATATAAGCCATCTCGGAGACTCTGGTAGAAACCTTGAACATACAAATATTATGACCAGAGTTCATATACTCACTTCAATGACTTGTAGCACAGTGAATATCTTATGAGAAGATAGAAAAGAAACTTAAAGCAGGGAACTTGATAAAGATAGGAGGGATGATGCCTTAGAAATTGATCACTTATTAAGGAGAAACTATAAAAGCCAAAATTAGACTGTAGTTTCCCGGGTTATGACATAGTATAGTCCAGTATGTGATTACCAACATGTCAGAGGAATTTCAATTTTCAGGGCAGAAATGAGCCAAATTTGAATGTGAGTAGAGTAATGTAAGAGGAGTGGAGGAGTGAGTGGACGGCAGTATGAATAGCCAATCATGACCAAGAATGGGGAAAGGCCTTTACAGTGATTTTTACAAAGGAGTTTGTTCAAAAGTCTCAGCAATGGAAGCACTCTTATGGGACTGCACAAAAATATTTTATACAAAAAGAAGACATTTGAGGGGTCTCTACAAAGGAAGGCCCATGTAAGGAAGAATCATTCTTCAATGTTGTCATACCGTTGTTGTTGCTACTGTTGTTGGGATGCAGCTTAATCATTATGGCACCTCTGATGATCTGTTCCACAAATCCAGATCTTCTAGCCATAGTACTGGTGTCCTGAAGCTGAATACGATTACCACAATTTATGCAGCATTCAGCCACAACTCTGATTTCCAGGTGATAAAGACAGATATACTGGCTGTGCTCTTTGATCCTTTTCCCAGTAGAACATCCAGCCTGGTCCACTCACAGGGGATGCTGTACATAGTCAGTATTTTCAGTTCTAAAGGCAAAAAAAAAACTTTCCTTCATAGGAGGTCAATCTTCCAGCTCTTAGTGGCTCCCACCATTCCTACATTATGTACCAATCACACCATTTGACTCATTTGTGTTCTGAAGATGGTAGCAACAGCTTCCTCTGAAATACTGGCAATTATCTACAAGTCTGCATGGTGTCATAAATCAGAAGATCACAATTGCAAAAACATCAGACCTTTGAAATTAATTTTTCAAACTAATGACTAGTGTTTCTTAAATTTTCCTGCCATAGAACAACAATGGTCACAGGAAGTTCAACGAGCCCTCCAAAAAAAGAAGTGAAACAAAATGACCAACAAACCAGGGGTGCAATTGCAAAGTGCAAAGAAGTTTATGTATATATACATGCATCAGAGCTGTGTTTGCAAGCTGCCCAGTTTGAATCTATGCTGGGTCACTAACTATCCTGACCAAGGTCTGAGAGTTCTCACGGTTTCCCTGAGTTCCTGGAGGCCAGCCTCTTACCTCCAACTGGCCAAGACTGCTTTCTACCCCACCCTTGTCAGTTTGTTGCTTTTAATGATCATTTTATCGTTTGACATTCTATAGTCTCAGATGTCAGCAGCACCAGTGAAAACAATAACTAAATAAACAAATAAATAAATTACACTGCATGAAAAATAAATTTTCTTTACTCTTATTTCTAATGAGATTTGTTTGCAACTACTACAGAAGTGAGTAACAAGTGAGATATTTACACCAAAATATCACAACGATCTTTACTTTAAATGCTGTTGAATAGCAACATACCAAATGTGGAAAATGAGGATCACAGTAGGAACAGAGAGTGCCAGCTGCAGCATACGCCAATTCTCAATGTAGAGAGCAATCAGAGGTAACAACATCATTCCCAAGGGATATGGCATGTTGTACAGAATGCCAAGCAATGTTCGGTGCTTCTTTGTGATGAACTCTGTTACTGCGGAAGACAGTTTTCAATAAAATATGCATTATTGATGATAATGCCCATAGTTGGATGGGCCAAAGCAACTTACATATTGTCTGCACTGCAACTGCAATCACCTCAACAGGTGGTATTTCTGCGTGATGGCTCTCTGAGGTAATGAAAGTGTTAGTGTACACATCATGGTTACACTAGGATCGTGGTAATATTGATATCATACTACTTTAACAATACATAAACTAACAGAATGCATGGAACAGTGGTTGTTGTCAGTGCTACTAAACAATGAAACCACTTGCCGATGCATCATTGAACATTTATACTGCAAACAGATGATGATGGTGATGCTAATGATGATGAAGATGATGACGATAATCATGATCATGATAATCAGGGCTTGAGAAACTGCGTAAAGTCCTACTTTCCAAAATGAAAATACATTCACTAGCCCAAATCCTACCTATGTATTACCACCCAAAACCCACCACCAACACCACACACCACTATCACCACCCACCACCCCCTTTACTGAAGAACGTTATGTTACGAGCACATTCAGTGAAACTGAAAATTAAGTGTCAGGGACTGATTTCTCTAAAGTAAAATAGCAGATCAACAGAGGGGTGGAAGAATACTAACAACTGCAATATGACATTATGCGGTCTGGCAGAAGTTAACTAGTGTTTTGGAGGGATGTACTGCTTCCATCTGCAAGGTTGAAGAATAAGTCAAGCTTGGTTTACTCTTCAACCCTGTGAATATGGAGGCAGTGCACTCCTCCAAAACATCAGCAAACATCTACTAGGTTACACAACATCACATTCCAGAGTATGGCATTCTTCATTGTCACTACGGTGAGAACAACAAAACTGACAATGGAAGGATTAACTCTGGAAACCATACCTAGACACGGGAATTGTCACATTTCGTGATAATTTTCATGCTGTTGTAATATTGTGATGTATTGCGCTATGGAGGACATCCCCCTCACCCGCCAGCGGTGTTAACTACATCGGGCGCTGTCAACATTCTGCCACCTTCCCCGTGGTGACGTAACAGGCGACAACGCCTGTAAACATGGAAACTAGGCAACAAGGAAGCGAGACGTTTTCCCGTTGTCTGGCTGAGGGTTTATAAGAGAACCACACAGCCTGAGGAGTCAGTTGAGGGACACCCGTGTGGCGGCGGGGTGGAATACCTCCACCGTGACCCTGCGAGTCGTAGGAGGCTACAAAAAGGGAAGTCTAATATTTGAGACAGTAAAATATGGTCACGAGTACTAAGGGACTCGGACCCGAGGAAGGCTGCACTGGCAAGGACCGGCAGCATATACAAAAGACAGACCTGTTCTCTCGTCAGAGAAGGTGCCCACAAAAAATAACACCATAACTGTCAAACAGTAATACATATCTGGTCATGAGCCCCAGGAGGGTGCTCGACACCAAGACTTACTGACTGACTGGCCGACTGTCACTCGCAATGTGACTTTGACTTTGACTAAGGAGTCAGTTAAAATGCAGCAGCTGCTGAAGACAGTTAAAATGTAGCAGCCACTGAAGACAGTTGAATGGATTCGCCAAGATGCAGTTGAACAGCAATTGAGATAGTGAATTGCATAAGATTAAGATTGTATAACTGTGAATTGTGTAAGTGTGGAGAGTGAATGTGCAATAAATTCGCTATATCCAATATGGCGTGAAGTTATTTGTCACATTATATATCCAACACGTGACAATATTTTAAAATAACCACTATATTATTCACTGATAAATATGTAACTAAATAATTATCAGTACCCAACATTAACATATATGGATGTATCATGCCTCTAAGAGTGGTGAAATTATTCTAGAGAAAGTTTCATTATTTGCCGAAACTGTTGTTTACATGTAGAATAACCTTTAGAGTGATGTCGTCCACATTGTGCAACATGTGTTCAGAATCCATATGTTTTCATGATCACTCAAAGTGAATCTATACCAGACAATGTCTGAGACTAACTTAATTTCCAAAATTAATTTATACTGCAAAGGATTACAGGTATATTAATTTTAATGGCTATGAATTCTCCAAGGTACCGAAGTGTATTTACCTTCTATATTTGAAGACAAAATCCAATTAATTTAGTGCAAGGAAAACCTTGGACATCTTACAGTCTGCCACTGAGTCCACCTCAAAAGGAAATTATGAAATTCACAGTACATATTCTGGGTGTGTTAGATGCACAACATGCAGCCAAGCAACTGGAAAAAAGAGGAAAACTAATCCTTCAGATGAATGTTTTTACTTTGAGAAATGGTTTAATGAAGCTGGCCCATTTTCATAAAATTTTATATAGACTCCCAATCCAGCATACACCCTGCTTCACACCCAGAATATGCCATTGCTATTCAAAATCCTATCCAATATTCATCGTTTTCTGACACTATTTAGCATCAATTAGGATGATGACTGGGAAAGATAAATTTGGAAATATTTGAACATGGCCCTTTGGAAGACAATAACGCAGAATTTTCTTGGAAGAACTGAGGGAAAAAAGGAAACCTCAGTAATGTGAAACGTAAACCTCATGTAATTAATGAATTTAGTTCAGTTATCCTTAACCATTTTTTTAAAATCCCTGCTGTACTTCTTCTACCATTTGGGAAGTCATTCTCATTCAATGATAGACTTAGTATGACAGTGCCTACAACATTAAAAATATATTAAAATATATTCTAAATATTCTCTTTATACATAATATATTCCAAAACTCATCCTGGTGATGTTTCATGTGTTCAGTCAAATAACTTCAAAAGGGGGTGAAATTCAGATAATAATTCAGAAAGTAGTGTTCCATTCTGAATTTATGTTACATGTGACAGTTTTGAAAATCAAAATACACAGGTGCTTGCGGGGTCTTGAGTGTCATAATGTATGAATCTCAGCAAGGTCAAAATTATAAAATATATTGTGCCAACTTACAGAGAGTGAAACCACAATTGAATGTTCCTGAACCAGCCATGCCAAGAGCAAGACGGGCAAAACAGAAGACAAGGTAGTGTGGTGCAAATGCCGCCACCGGGCCAGCTATGATGTATAAGATGCAGGATATTGCAAAGCTTCTCTTACGACCCCACCTACACAATAAATCGTACAGTTAAATATTCTCATTCCCTTCAACATGTCAGAGACATATTCTTAAAAAATAAAGCCCAGAACTGTACACCTAATGTGCAGCAGGAATTAGTGTGCCATCATACTTCCTTTTAGTTGCTCAGTCATCCCATGCAGAGAGGCTCAAAAATGCATACACACTTCAACAAATGAAATATGTGCTTAAATAATTTATTGAAATATCTTCAGCTCAACTTTGAAAATGCACTTAGATAACCTGTATTATAGAGTGTTATAGAGGTTATTTACAGACATTTTCAAAGTTGGACCAAAGATATACCAGCAAATTATTTCAGCAAACATTTTGTAAACTGAAGTGTGTATATACTTTCTTGGGCTTCTCTACACATGTTTAATTGTTTCAATTCATTCTGTCTCAACGTTGAGAGAACTGTTCTGTTAAATTTTGTTTCTAAAATTATAACATATCACAGAATTAAAGAACTGTGTAAATAAGGTCTTCCCAATTAATATTTAATATAAAGTTGTCCCTGTACTTACATAAGCACCATGCTATGAAATGTATGGGGGAGTGAGGATATAATTCTATGCACTTTTAAATTCAGCACTAGAAAAAAGTGAGTCCTGGCCACTTCAGCCCTGGGAAAAGACCCCAGCCCAGTACCAACTGGATAGAAGATTGAGTGGATCCCAAAGCTGATTCAGACATAGCAGTGAAGTGAAATAAATGTACCGGCATCCACCACCAGCAATCAAACTCTGATTCTCCAGTCATCCACCTTATAGCTAGAGACCATACTAACAGAATCAATGTCTGAAAATAATTGTCCCTCAATAAATTGGATTGATATACTTCGGAAAAGTAACAGTTCATTGACACTGGAAATACAGTTGAATATTTAGACCTGTAAGGTATTTTGTATTGATTATTCAGTTATACTATATTAGCTCATTGCTGCAAATAAGGTACAGTTGCTTTGAGCTCTCTACCTTCACTTTTTGTTACTAAGCAGTTTGAAATTATTGCAGTCATTGAATTAGAACTAAGAAAATGGCACTGAAATTTATCATAAAATTCATGGACTAGAACCTGCAAGGTTTGAGAAAACTGCATAATTGAAAGTTGCATGATTTATACTCTTCTTTAAATATTATTAGGATGATTAAAACAAGGAGACTGAGATGGATGGAACATGTATCTTACAGAGAGACATGAGAAATCCTTTGTAAGTGTAACTACAAAAGATGAAGGAAAGAGACAATTTGCAAAACCTAGGTATAGATAGAAAGGTAGTACTAAAACATCTTAAAAAATAGGATGTGACAGTGTGGACTGGAGTCATCTGACTGTGATTAGCATCCAGCGCCAGGTTTTGGTGATCATGACAATGGATGTTTCAAATCAATAAAAGGCAGAGAGTCCCTTATCTAACTGAGTGATTATTAACTTCTTAAGAATTCGAGAAGTGCTCTGCTCAATGGAGTTGGTTGCTATTATCCTTATATGTTAAGAAGATAAGATAGAATTTTAAAGTATGACTTTAGTAAACTCTTCATAGATGTGGTTCTATTTTACACTGATAATCATAGGTATATCTAGTACAACAGATATTTAACTGCTACACTTCAAAGCTGAAAAGAGAATTCTGTTATAACCTAATGGTATGAAAATAACTTGGTATGTTCTAGGTATTAATCATCATTATTCATGTCATATTTTCTAAAATTTAGACACAAAAATAAGTTCTTTATTTTAACATGCATTCAGTGTGACTCAAACCTCAACATATTTACTGATTTGTTTGTAAAAGTAAATTGTGATGATTATCCGCATATGAACTATAGTAACTATCGTTTTATTGTGATACACAATTGATCAATGTAATCCAAGGTCTACTAATTATATGATTTCAGAATCTTGTTTATAAATACTTGGTAGAACTCCATAGGTGGGGGATCAGCCAGTCACAAGGCTGACAGGACAATACAAACACAGGAAGACTGAAGACATACATCCAAACTTTGGGTGCGATTCAAACCCATGATTCCAGTGTTTCAGCAGAAGACAGTATGTTCCTTAGACCACATGGTCACTGTGATTGGCACAGTAATTATTGGTAAAAAGTGCTCAATAAGAGGCAGACAGTATCAACAATAATAAATAAGCAATAACGAATAAGATGAGAAATAATGTTCACTGACTCAAAACTTAAAGAATTTAGTCATATTCTTATTGAGCTGCCACATAGCCACTGATACTGAAGTACATGTAGGCTGAAACATATTTTCTTTTTAAACAGCATGTCACAATATCATTAGCTCTTTAGTATATTATTTTTAAAAACAATAAAAGGGTAAATTGATTACTATAGCAGAGAATATTTAAATGGTTCTGATGCCATACTTGTCAGCCACAAAACCAAAGACCAAGGCTCCGAGAAATTTCCCAAGAGAGACAGTCATCTGTACTGTGGATTTGAGAGGAGTGCGACTGCATACCAGGTCCCACTGTAAACAAACAAGACTCACAGATAAGTTTGTGCGAAAATATCCAGTTCTTTGAAGAGTATGGTCCTCTGGGATGTAACATCATACAGTTCAGAGGAAGTACAGTATTCCTGATGTGATATGTTACTTCAAAGAATTGAATTTCTCCAAAGTAAAAGTAATTACAATCCAGAAAACTTTTCTCTTCATAGTCACTATTATCAGAACCTCAAATACAGTATATTCAGTTCAATTTTGATGAAAGTAAAATACATTAAAGCAGGATTCAGAGTAAAGACAAATTCATCTTATCTATAAAACTATGGTTCACAGCAATATGGAATATTTCTAATAAGCTCTGTTACCTTCAGCACAATCACTGTTTGATATTTATGTCATTTAATTTTCTACAGTAATACTAATTCTTACTTAAGCATATAAAATCTGAAATTCAACATATTCTACACTGATAAACACATCTATTTAATTTTTTATTATATTCTGATAAAATCTGTTTGGTTTCCATGAATATATTGGATTGTTACAATTGTTGTGTGGGGTTTTATGTCTTTGTTGCTCGTCATTACTCTGATGACAACCCACTTCTTCGGAACAGTTTGTTGGTCCTGAAAAGGACCGTGATTGCTAAGATGATTGACCAGTGAAGTAACGCAGCGTGCACCGGTAGGAAGGGATGTTGGTTGCAGTGTGTGGACGGGCCGCAGTGCGGCCGTTGCTTGAGGTTGCTTGATCGCCGTGCGGCAGGTGAGTTGAGGTTGCGTGGTCGCGCAGCGCGGTCGCAGGAGTGATGAGGCAGTGGCTATGCCAAATGCCCAGTGGGTCGGACAGGGACACGACCACCGGTGAGTCCAGGCAAGTTGCCCCAGTGCGTCGGGTATGAGAGCCGGAGGGCCGAGGCAGTCGTGCCTGGCGCAGCCTGCCGATGCCTCCGAAAACCGAGCGCTGGCGATGAAGCCTGCTGGCTGATGTTGCTTGGTGTGGCTTGATCGTAGACTGATGATCGACTGATGCTGGCGGTTTGTGGCTGCTCCTTTTTATACACTGCTTGGTGGGCGGAGCGAAACTTGAAATTGAGGAGGAAGAATTTGCAGGGAGCTGATTGGCTAGTGTGCGTGATGATGTAGATGCGGAGCTAGCAGCGAGCGCAGTATAAATGCGAACGTTTGGAGCAATTTGATTGGTTAGTGCATGTGATGGTGAAAAGCGATGTGAAGAGTGTGTATTGCAGAAAATGCATGATAATGTGGGATGTTCCCACAGTTGATTCATTGACACAGTTTAAGAACTTACAGCAGGTTAACACTTCTTTATCAGCAACACACTGCACTATCCTTTGTGCACAATTTCATTACTTCTTGTCTTATAGAATTACATGTCTCTCTCTTCATGAAACAGATTAGTTCAAGCAGTAATGCATTTGGTTTTAATTTAAGAGGTACATGGTTAAAATTTCAAATATCTAACCATACTGAATTTTTTAATAGTATTCTACAGTTCCTTGAAGTAGATTATACTTAAACTTTCCTTTCCTTTACTAGCATATAGTTTTCATCTCATTTGCTACTAAATAACCATTAAATCTTATTCAGTGTCGTCAAGTACCCTATGAATAATCTACTCTTTAAACTGCTTGGCTCCAAAAAAAAGTGACTTTCCCACACCAATAGTACTCTCTAGCTTGACAAACTGAATAACACATTTTACAGGTGAGTCAGTCTATGGGATGGTAGTGTGCCCTCATACAGTAGAATATGATCTAATAATATATCACCTCTGAAACAATACCATTCCCTTCATAGGACCAGCTGTCGCACTCATATTGTCCAGGATAATTAACATTGCTAATGTAATTCAGAGCTTCTTCATATGATAATGCTGCCAAAATTGTGTAGTTCCAGTTTACAATTTCACAGCTGTCTCCTGAGATTCCACTGAAACAATGAAGAGAATGCTTGATCAGAGTATCATAATCAGTCTGGCTGGTTAATGATTTCTGTGATTCTGAATCAACAGGACATTGCAATTCAATGGATATCATCTGTGTTGGTTGTTTGGTTGGTTTCCAATACCTACATTTGGGATCATTTAACCCATTTTGCTTCATGCTTCCCAGTAGAGAGCACTCAAGTTCTTGCTTTGTTGCATCTTGAAGAAGTTTGCACTTCTCTTTTGGGAAGCTTTGCCAGGTTTGTTGCTCATTTTGCACTACCCAGGGGACACGTATGTCTTAAAGAATATCACGGATGCGAGCAACTTTGTTTCATAAGATTTTAATTTTTACAGAACACCCAACAAAGGAATAAACATACATTGTAAACTGATTATATATTGTGAAACAATTATCAGTGCAAAAGATTATAAGTACTTCCTCACACACTGTTGACCTTAATTACTTTACCTTGGAAATGAAACTGAATATCGCTCACTTGACCACTGTTTTTAGCAATAAATACGAAACAAAAATGGAATCCATGAAATCAATAATGCTAGCTTTAACAAAATCTACATTTTCTGTTTAGGCCCCTAGTGTGGGTACCATCATTTTCGGAAGATATCACTATGCAGTTTTATTTGGGTAGATGATCTCCATAACTTAGTGAAATTTAATCAGAACTGTTACATCTGATTTCAAGAAAATTACCATTTTGTTCTCTGAGGCCCATCTGAAGGGCACATATTTTTGGACCTACAATAATTTTATCCATTGGGCACTGCCTTGTGATGGATAGACTCTTAAATACTGAATATGAATAAAATCCATTCACTCATTCAGGTGTCAGCAAGGGGCATTTATACATGCGCACAGGCACACATGAACACTACATACATACATTACAGAGAGCTTTGTATTTGGGGAACTCGATACATGTAAATTCTTCAAAATCTCAAGCTTGATATTTTTCACATCACACTACTTCCCGTATGTATATTATGTATATGAGAAATTAAAAAAAATATGTATGTTAACTATTTGAGAATTTCCTATTTCATATGTCGACCAAGAATTGGCTATTATCTCTGATGTTTCATGATTTTCCTCATCCTCTGGGATAACTACTGTTAAGACAACTGCAGTTGCGAAGGCACAGTGATATGAATGGGGAATATGAAAGGATGTGAAAGGAAATAATCTTTGACCTACTTCAAGAAAATATTCTGCTGTCTGTCTATAAGAAAGTGGAAAAGCTTAGCCCTCATAGCCTGTGATAACCAATATTCAAATTGTATATCTCCATTGTTTGCACAAATATAATCTGCGTAATGATATGAAATATATAGATCTCTTGCCACATATTAGGTGACCTTCTAATTTTGACATTGGAACCAGTTAAGTCAGGAACATTATGACAGACTGTGACAGCAAATAGTGTATTTGTGGAGCAGCAGCAGCTTTGAGATAAGAAAGTGTTATTAGACATTAAGACAAAGGTCATGAGATAAGAAGCTCATCTTCTTACCTAGTTTTGTTACTGTTCTATGTGTTAATTAATTTACAATGAATGTTCATTTCTTTGTTTTTCTGTGTAGGCATGCACAATTTCATATTCAGCCATTGTTTGTCTTTCTCATTCAAGTCACAGAGATTCCATGATATCTTAAACTTCCTTGTTGAGGACACCTGTGGGTCTCAAACATCAAGCTGATGGTATACTCTTCTGTTCAGTATCTTATCAGTAAGGGCATCAGACTTTACCTAACTGGTAATTCAACTGCAGAAATTGATTCCTCCATAATGAGCATAAAAATTCTTACTGAAAGAGCTGCTCTTCTGCCTAAAATTAAACTGGGAAGTTCTCAAATGTGAAGGAATGCTCTGGCACTGCACAGTCCCATTACTGACAGCATTATTAAATACCCAAATTAAAGAAAAGAAAATTTAATGAATGGTAACCACTATTAATGTAACATTTACAGCACTGCTATTTCATGAGCATACAATTTTTGTGACTGTGAAGTGTGAGCATACTGTGATATAATGGGTGAAAGAGGGAATAGTAGACCCAGAAAAGTCAGCCATTGCTAGGTGGCAGCATGGTAAATATATGTCTCCAGCAACAAATAAACATGTTGTAATAAAGGAACTGCTGGAAGCGATGTTGTTTAAGTGGTCCATGCCAAAGTTATATAGTGAGTGTCACTGGAAAAAATTAATTTTGAATAGCTGATTAGCAGCGAGCTAGATATTCACACTGGAATCGCCCTTTTCTCTGTTATAGTCAGAATAGCCCTTGGGTTCACTTAGCCCTTCATCTAGACAATACTGGAAACTCATTCCCTGGGCCAAGGTAGCCAGAATGTGAAAATGAACGATCATCTCTTGTTGCTGTAGTCTAAAATGTGTGCAGTATTCCATTCATGACTCCATAAAGCCAGTGGTAACATTCCAGATATTTTTGTTATATAAGATTTGAGGCTTTCACGGCAGTGACTATGAAGAAAGCAGTCTTCTGGGATTTGGCACCGTGTATATGTGGTGTTAACCGACGTTTCGGAGGAACGTATCGCCTCCATCTTCAGGGTAGAAGAAAAAAAAATATATAAGAATCTGCAAGCAAAGAGACTGCTTTCTTCATTTTTGTTATACTTTATGATATTAAAAGCGAGCCCCTTTACTTCTGCAGCCAGCCAATGATCTTCTAAAGCGTGGATCTGAGGCATACTATATTACATGTAACCTTCGGATAACTGTTAAATAAATCATGTCCTTACATTCTTAAGATCAGGTTGTTATGCTCACCCAGGACTGCTGATAGTTCTGATTTGTTCTGAAGTCCAATTGGTAGCTTGCAACTCTGGCACTGCACACCAATGAGGCAATGCCTGTCCCAGGAATACATACGCTGTCAGGTGCCAGATGTTAAATACTCCAGGCATGCTGATCACACAGAAAATTATCCATATCCATTTCTTTCTTCCTCCAATCTCTTCAATGGCTGCCTCCAAACCATCCTGAGAAGGAGGCATTGTGTCCTACAAAAAGGTGGTTGTCATGTCATTATTTTGCAGGCACTAGAAATTATAACTCTCTCTTTTAGTGGCTGGAATATTAGAAAACCTAATTTATACTAACAGATATTGATCAGTTCAGAGATCATTTAATAGCACTGTGAGATTTGCAAACATGAAGTAATTCAATGGGTCAGGGGAATAATGATGCACAGTGAAGCTGTAAGTTGGTGCTGGTGTATTTAATATTGTTTTGTTAAATAAATTGGATATTTAAGAACAAATGCCAGAATGAAAATAGATGATGAATGTAGAATGATGGAAAAGGAAGCATTCACCCAGAGTATACAAAAAAGAAAGCCACAAGTTTTAACCATCACTCAAACCCTAGACCTACAGACTATGCAATTTCTATAGTGTGAAATTCGTTGGATAGACCAAAATAAGCCCCAGTCAATAAAAGCAGAGTGCCTGCTGAAATTCAAATTGTGTAACTCCAAGACACTGGTAGAGTTCTCTATGACAGGAGTGAAATAACCTGCTTGATAAAGAGGATAACAAGCTTAATTTAAATAGGTGTACCCAAATGTAAACTGTAAAAAACATAGTAATGAATAGCATACTTGGAATACCTGTAACATGGGATATGAATTCTAAAAGAGAGGAAAAATTCATTTCATGTGTAATCTATTCTATTAGATGTAGAAGCAAAGATATAGCCATGGAGACAAGATGCACAATTTGCACCTTCATTGCTCTTAGCTATTAAAGATTTAAAGCTTTCAAGATTAATACAGTCTCTGTTTCTGCGCAGTTTCGTCATGTACAAGTAGATGTAGGTTTCATTGCAACCGTGTCAGAGGTCCCTGATATTTTCATCTTGAAGCAGAGGTTGTAAGAACTTCTAGAAAGTCGTCAATGAAGCATACATTTACTCGATGCTGCAGAAATGGGATCTAAGAGATGCCTTACTAATTATATTTTAAATCTTTCAATGAATAAATGTTTGTTCATTTTTGTGTTATTGTAATGAGAATGCTGTAATAAAAAGTAATATCCAGCATAACTTTGGGAAAAAAAGTTAGGAAATTTATGCATATGGTAACAATCCCGGCTCCTTTTCTCTCGTCTTTCACTGCCTACAAACTTGCGAGGCTTAGGGAGAAAATGTAGGAACATAAATTTTTCAGTCAATATGGGGCCAAAAACGAATGTCGGTCTTCATACAAAGTGTCTTACAAAAATTGGAAGGCTGTGACAAATTTTAGCAAAACTCACCAATATCAGTTTTAACAAAAATAAAGTTCTGTCACACTGGCCCTTCTCTCATTTTTTTTTTTTTGCCTGCAGACGCAAGTGAAGACTGATGACGCGGACGTGACGTATATCTTTGTTGCGTGTAAGCTCGGCCATGGAAATGTATTTACAGAGCTATTGCCTAGCAACGGCTGTCTAAACTACTCCGGTTTTCAGCAGACATACCACAAAACACACACAGCGACTGGCTACGGGCTGGACGACAGAGGGATTAGAGTTTCAGTCCCAGTGGGGTAAAAAATTTTCTCTTCCCCACGTCCTCCACACTGGCTGTGGGGCCCACCCATCCTCCTATCCAACGCGTACCGGGGGCCTTTTCCCTCGGAGTAATGTGGCAGTGGCGTGAAGCTAACCACTCATCTCCGACTAGTGCCTAAGTAAAAAATATGTGGATCTAAGAGTATACATAGCGGCCTCCGTAGTCTAGAGATAACGTTCCCACCTCATGACTCGTGGTACGCGGGTTCAAACCCGGTGGAGGTCGTGGATTTTTTAAGGGCGGAAAATTTCAAGGAACAAGTCCTCCGGGAGAGACTTTAAGCCGTGGGTCCCGTGTCGTAGCTTTACGGCACGTAAAAGAACCTCATCTCTCCAAAGGAGGTCACTGAGCCAAATTCAAGGACGTTTCCCGCCCAACAGTAGTCTCTAACGCCTCCGATAGATGGTAGAAGCATTATAGATAGCGCCAAGCCAGTAGAGGCCGAACTCTCTGGCTCGGTCGGGACTGATGGTACGCACCAATAGCGGTAGGGTATAGAGACTGGTAGAATATTATAGAGGGAAGCACAATGGACCAATATTGGTCTAAGTGCATGGGGAAACCCACCCTCTCCAATAACTAACTAACTAACTAAATAATTAACTCTGCGTATACATCAACTCCCACATATGCCTTCATGACGCAGTGCTTAATTTGTTAAGCACAGGGACAATTTTACCCTACATTTTACAGCACGAGTATATTATAATAGGGTTGTAAAAATGTTTTTTATTTTGTGGATAAGAATTTTAATCAAATTATCCAAATTTTCGATTACCCAAACCACTTCCATCATTAATTAATTAGCACAATCGGCGTTCTGTTTTATCTTCAAACCGTCCCCATATGTAAAGGCTGTCTCCTCCAAGCGTTACCTGAAGTCTTGTGTCGACGACGCGCCATGGTGACAACGGACCCGCTTAACAAGGCAACACATTACGCACATTTTCCAAACGTGTTAAGTGCCTGTTCGCTATTTTAGGTGCGGCTTTGGCCTTGATATTCATTCATGCGTTTGCTCTATGTAAGTTTATGACGATTCTCACGCTACAAATCACTTTTCTCAGAGCACTTTCATTAGCCTTCATTATCCGTTTCCTAGCAACCGATATATCACAGTCTCACCGTAACTTCAAATACCACTGTTATCTACAGCATATGTAAACTCTTAAACTCACACACTGCATCATCTTGGTACTCCCCTCTTGCTATCGCCGTCAACCGCCACCTCCATGAATTCCGATATACGATTTTCTGTCTATTCTGACTCAATTCTTGACGGCACATTTCATGGTCTCCTGAGTGGATACCCCAATGGAACTATTCCGACTTTCAAATAAACTGTTGGTTAAAGCCAAAGTCACATTTCGACTGACAGTCAGTCAGAGTCTTGGTGTCGAGCCCCACCTGGGGATCATGACCAGATATTTATTACTGTTGACAGTTTCGGTCTGTTATTGTGCTGCGGCCTCTCTGACGAGAGGACGGGGTCTGTCTTTCGTCAGAGTCATTTTCTGCAGTAGTAAGTAATTTGTCATAATATAAAGTATATTTCTATTTTGCATGTTAAACATAAACTGTCATAAGTCAAAATCACATTGTGATTGACGGTCAGTCAGTCAGTCTTGGTGTCGAGTATTGACCGGATATATATTGTTTGATATTTATGGTCTTGTTTTTGTGGGACGCCCTCTCTGACGAGAGGACGGTACTGTCATTTGTACATGCTGCTGGCCTTTGCCAGCGCAGTCTTTCTCGGGTCCGAGTCCTTGGGACTCGCGACCATATTTTACTGTCTCAGATTTCAGACTTATTTTTCATCGCCTCCTACGACTCACAGGGTCACGGTGGAGGTATTCGACCCCGCATCCATACGGGTCCTCAACTGTCCGTTGAAAGTCAAAGTCAAAGTTACATTGCGACTGACGGTCGGTCAGTCAGTCAGTAAGTCCTGGTGTCGAGCCCCATCTGGGGCTCATGACCAGATATTAATTATTACTCTTTGACAGTTACGGTCTTATTTTTGTGGGGCGCCCTCTCTGACGAGAGGACGGGTTTGTCTTTTGCATATGCTGCTGGCCCTTTCCAGCTTAGTCCTTCTCGGATCCGAGTCCCTTGGGACTCGCGACCATATTTTACTGTCTCAGATTTGAGACTTCCTTTTCCGTCGCCTCCTACGACTCGCAGGGTCACGGTGCAGGTATTCGACCCCGCCTGCACACGGGGGTGTCAACTGTCAATTCAAAGTCAAAATCAAAGTCACATTGCGACTGAATGTCAGTCAGTCAGTCAGTCAGTCAGTCAGTCAGTCATTCAGTCAGTCAGTCAGTCAGTAAGTCTTGGTGTCGAGCTCCATCTGGTGCTCACGGACATATATTTATTACTGCTTGACAGTTACGGTCTTGTTTTTGTGGGGCGCCCTCTCTGACGAGAGGACGGGTCTGTCTTTTGTATATGCTGCTGGCCCTTGCCAGCGCAATCTTTCTCGGATTCGAGTCCCTTGGAACTCGTGACTACATTTTACTCTCAGATATGAGACCTCCTTCTTTTGTTCGTGACTCACAGGGTCACGGTGGAGGTATTTGACCCCGCCTCCACACGGGACTTATCAATTGTCGATTTTTGTTGGCTTCTCTTTTAACAGCCTCGTGTCTGACCTCTCAGAAAACACACGTCCATTGCCTAGAAATGGATGTCCTCTAGTGTTGCGTATTCGTTGGAAAGTGTTTACCTATCAAAGGGCTGTTTGCCAGGAATGTGTCTCCGTCGGAAGGTGTTTATTGAGCCATTGCCTAGGAGTGGGTCTATGCGTCACAATATGTTACATTCGTGTTCCGTAGCAACGGCAGGATAACAAATGAGTAACTGCCTCCTGTTCTGGGAAGTACTCGTGCTAAGGATAAAAAATTACCTACCAACCATGGCATGCCGGTCACGGTAGCCGATCAACTGAGGCATGAACTGTCTTCGCTCGCTCAGAATCCGGGATCGTGGGTTGGAATCCCACTTAGAGTATGGATGTTTGGTGAGTGTGCGCGTTTTTATGTGTTTTCATTGTCCTATGTTAAGGTAGAGTCCTGGCGACGAGCTAATCACCCGTCCAAGGAGTCCTACCGTGTGTAATATGACCAAGAAACTGCGAAATCAGCTCTGTGCTCCAAAATGGAACAAGAGGAGATAAAGACCATGGCCAGATTGACAGTTGTGGAAGCCCTTATCGGCAAAAACAAATTTCGGTTATCACAATTCCGCTTAAGTCCGTCTGTGTTAATAATATCCTCCTCAATCTCACAGTCTCTCACTAGGTGAGAGAAAATAGATAATTATTTTGATATCCAATTTTAATTAATTCTTCCAGGTTTTCTCATCAGCTCTACAGAATTATAAGATCTACTGTAGCAGCGGTAAAATTAAAAGTAACAGCCCATACAGAGAACGAGGCATTGCC